ACACACACACACACACACACACACACACACACACACACACACACACACACACACACACACACACACACACACAAACAACAGTTCTTTAGACTTCCATAAAAACGTTAATCTGATGTTAGAAACACCCTAAAAAATGCAAATAGCGTCTAATGTGTTTAGCTAAACACAAACACTTTCACTGCCGACAGCTGAACAGTACTGCTATAACTTGTGTTGTAAAAAGTTTATTTACACAAGATACTGAGTTTGAGCAAAAAGCACRTTCTACTAACAAATAATTCAGTTGTGGGAGTAAGCAAAGATAATAACACTTGGACAGCTGTGTTAATATTTGTGTTCTCACAGTTGTAAGTCAACAGTTTGATAAGTCTTCATTAAATGCTGATGAAAGTGATGGTTTTAGTGAAATATGGTATTTAAAGTCATCTGAACACTAGTTATTAAAAGTTAACAATGTTCAGGAATGTATTATTTTGAAGAGCTCGGACATCTGTGCCGGCAGGAGATGTGATGTGGAGGAAACCAGAGCTGGTGGAGCAGGCGGACAGCGTGAGGCCACACCCTGCTGGTGATTCATCCCGCACACCAAAATATGCTGTCTGGGGTCAGACTTCACAAAGCCCTTACACACCATGACTCACTAGTTCGCCTCTCTGATTCTCCCCCCTTTCCTTTTTCCTTGCAGCAAAACAATCACAAAACGCTGCCCCGTCTCAAGAACATTCCTTTTGCCAAATAAAAAAGCAGCACAATGCAGTGTTGTTTTCTTGGCTGCGTGCGCTGAGATCTCAGTGGAAAAGTACTGACACTCAGAGACAGAGCTGAGCCCAACGCGTTCCTTCGCTGATGTTCCGTGCGAGCACATGCTTCAGCAAGAGGCAGCAGTTCAGAACGGGATACTGAGGGGTTTTTTTTTCAGATCTGGCTGCTCTGAGTCATGATGCAAACATCTCAAACTGAACACATGCAAACAGCCCCGACACTTTAACTTAAAAATACATTTACAGTAATTCTGCTCAGCCTGTATGAATGCATTTGTGCAGGCTGGGAATATTCTATAAATAATGATTCTCATGGTTCCTGTCAGGGATGAGACAAATCGACTGATGATTAAATGTGAATCAACGTTTATTGGATTAAAATTTGTTCTATTGGAATTAACCAATAACAGAAAGACACGGCCTCTCTGCGACTCTGTTTCACTTTAAATCAGAAGTAGTGACTTCAAACTTTAAACCAGATTTTAAATTGGGTGGATAGGCCAAGTAAAAMCAGAGCTATGATAAATAGTATACACCATGTTTTTTTTTAATGACTGTTGAACTTGATGCGTGAAAAAAACACTGCAGTTCGCTGTCAGTTTTCTCCTTCCCTTGAGCTGGAAAAATGTATAAACCCCCGTTTTTTTTCTGATTGAGGCCCAAAGTTATTTGTCAAGCAGCAAAAAAATATAAAAAAATCTCCAGGGCAAAGAAAACTAAACAACGCAGAATTTGAATGAAGTTCGGCCGTGATGAAGAGAGAGCAAGAGAGAGTAATTAAATTGATAATATTTGGATTTTAGGATTAGGGTACAGCTCAGTATTTTTAGGGAGTTTTAGTCTAAACAACAAGGCAATCTTTATGGATAGAGCTGCACTCGGAGGCAAGGGCCTAACTTTAGGTCTACCATTGATGGGTTACGCTCTAAAACCTAAAAACAAGAGAGTTGCATCTGTTTTGTTTTATGTGATTTTTTTTGATAAATAAACAAATAAATAAAATATCTAACTAGTTCATTTCTGTTGTGTTTGAGCAATGATGAAATTTTATTGGGGGGTTATATTGACTGGATCAAATTACTGTGGGGGTTATAACCCCCCCTGCAAATTACACCCAGGTTTGGAGGTCTGACTCTGTAAGGTGGGACAATGCAGTCCTCCCACCTGCTCCAGAACCAGGCTGAGTGGTCCAACAGAACCAGGCATCGGTTCTGAGCTCTGGAGAACTGAGTCGGATGCTTAAGATCCCCCAGAGGTAAGCAGGTTAAACCAGTGAGAACCCCTGGAGTCCAGTTAGACCCACTTAGACTTCAAAACATATTTTTGATGGTTTTAGACACAAAACAGCAACAAGAAGGCAGCACAAAGTCATGAATCTGGGAAAAATCATACATTCTAAATGTAAATAAATGTTAATAA